ATGTTCTTACAGTGTGGGTGTTATTACAGTTTTAATAACCACCTGTTTAATTCCCTGGGATGGGAGATTACATGCAGTACAGCCAAGAGTTTCTTTGTTTAACTTTGTCAGCTCTATGGGCCTAAAAGAAAAAAAAAGAGAAAGAGAAATATCCCCAGCTCTGTATTTCAGGGCACAGAATGATGACCAGCTTCAGGAATGAGTCTTGATCCTTTGACTTCTCACAAGCAGGATGGGCTGGGAGATGGAGTCCCATTACACAGTGACCTATTATTTTCACTTAAGCAGTGAAAGATGAAGATGTGCTCTCATTTGATGTAAAGGAATCACTAAAATGAGCCTGGCAAACCACTTAGAATGTTGCAAGTGATAGCTAATTTTTCTAGGGATTAATTAATTCCCCTACAGTAACAAGATAGGATTCTTTGGCAGAGAATCAGTCAGCTTGATTCCTGTCTGTGGCATATTTAGGTTTGTGTTATCACCCAGTGCCCACACTTGTGTAGCATAAACTCCTGAGGGGACTTGTGAAGAGATGAGTTTTCAGTCATCTGGCCTGAATCACTGCTTTGCTGATGAACCCCTCAAGCTGCTGGAAAAGACCTGTTTTATGCCAGGCCAGTATAACCACAAACCAGGCATGTAGGTCTGATTTCCCAAATTAAAACACTGATTTATTGCACTGTGTAAGTTGGATTTTCAATTTACCTGCAACCTGAGAACTCAGTCTCTTAGGGCAGGTAAAATACAAGCAGTTGGTGATGAAGATAAAGCCAACAACAAAAAAAACCAACCAACCAAACAAACAAACAAACAAAAATAAAACAAACAAAGAAAGATGTGGTTCTATGACTGCTAATTGCTCTGATACCTTTGCTACCCTCCTTCCAGTCTGTGTTTCCTTCTGACCTGGGATACTGTCACTGTCAGCAGTGAAAGCTATCACAGTTCTCCTTTTTTCTCTCCCTTTTCCTCTCTCTGGTTCCCCTAGGGACAGAAGATCCTGGCAGCTAGATCTACCCCAGGCTTTTGCCTTTTGTTTTCCTGTACTTTTCTCTTGGCACAATGCAGAAGTTTGCAGTGTTGTGCTTCCACTATCACATGCTAAAATATTTGCACAGCTGTCTGATGACAGAAAAGGGGAGAAAGAGAAAATCCACTCTTCCGTTACTTGACCAAACAAACAAATAAACAAATATTAACATGAATTAATAATGTAAAATCTTCAGTTTTCCCTGCTCTTGTATAACAGAGCCCTCAATCAGTTTGCCTGGCTCCCCTCTGTGTGCTTCACCTTTTTCTTGTACATATAAACCCACACTTTTGTGCTTCTCTTCCAATGCCTCTGAGTCCAAATGCCCGTGGGACTCCACTGCCCACCTCTGTGCACTCACTTCAGCCTGTTCCTGGGATACAGAAATAGGACCAACTCCTCCAGGCTATAATCAGGCATTCTTCAGGCAAATCTCTGACTGAAATCAGTGGAAGTTTTGGCACAAGGATGGCAAAACTAATTACATTTCTCCTACAAGTATATATATATACACATATATGTGTGTGTGTGTGTGTGTGTGTGTGTGTGTGTGTATGTTTATGTATCTGGGAGGTGATGAGCGATAAGAAAATACTGCCTAGAAAGAAAGTCCATTAATAAATGAGATATAGATGTGGGGAAGAACAGATGATTGAATTATTTATAATGCAGTTATGAAATTGCTGAGTTGCTAAGCTTTCCAGAAGCTCATCAATAACATGCATGACCATAGCAGCAGTTAATGGGAGTATAAACAAGCAGGAGCATGGATCTCCATGAAAATCAAGCGTAGAAATATTGGGGAAAAAAACCCTAGAATATCCAAATCATTTAGAGCAGAATATATTCTAATGTGGTCATAGCTTTCCAATAGCCTTGAAAACTGGTTGTGAGTTAATTTTACCAGCAGTGCACTAGAGAATCTCAAGCAAAAACCCATCAAACATAGGCCCATATTTTAAAAATAGAAAAAACAGCACAGACACTTCCTAACAAGCCTAACTATAGATCAGGGTGAGAAAAAAAAATTAAATGTGGGTTTAAAATAAACCTGGGTAGTGATACTAAGAGCAAAATGAACCTGGATATTTGAAAGAACCAATCTTGTCAAGTCTGTTTTTTGTCAGAATTATCTAATTAATGACTGATGATACTAGAGCAAATATACTGCATTAGATCCTTTGGTGCAATGAGTGGAAGATTCAACTTTTCACATCTTCAGCAGACAAAAGAAGGGGAAGTGAACAGGCCAACAAGCACTTTTTCGGCTTTGACATCTATAAACCACGTAGAGGGACTGCACTCCCACTACCAACAGCTCCTTTCCTACACACATAAACACACACTCCCTGCCTTTATCCTGCTCTGAGACCACACACAGCTCTGTCCAGTGTCTGCCCTTCCCATCAGCTAGCCTCTTCTCTGGGAAGCATGAATGCCTTCTCTGAAATGAGGCCTCAGTTAAAGATGTGTTTCCACCAAGCTTGGATTGGTTTTTCTCAGGTTTTTTTAAAGTCTTTCTTGCGGTCCTTAGTTGTGAGCTCCAGACAAAGCCTTCCTTTCTAGGGAACTTCAGAACCAGGAATGTGGATCTGGACATTTATGGACAAAGGAACAATCAATGTTTCTGCTCCCATTGCCTCCTAATCATCAGGAAGAATGACTGTGCTGTGTCTTTAGCATTCCAACTCAGTTTCTGAAGTCTGTGTCCTCCTGTGGACATATATTTAGGGATAGCCCTCTCTTTGTGGCTCAGCCTGAAGTATCTAGGCACAGGGAGGCAGTCTCTCTGTGCTGGTCTGGATCCAGTAGACAGAATGGCATTTCCAGCCCTTTAGCCTCTGAAACATTCTGTTTGTGCAATTAGCCTTATGAGGCGACTGATGAGAAATGGGTGCTTATTAGCTGCTGTCATTTTTATACCCTCTTCCCTAAGTAATGGTACAGCAGCCCTCGTGATCCCATTAAACAGTTCTGACTGCGGGAGGAGAAAGCTGCAAATGGAAAAGACTCCTCAGTGCTGCAGGCCAAGCCCAGCCACCTCCTCTCCCCTACATTCCTCTGCTGCTTTCATACTCCCTGAGAGCCCAGCATTATTCCTTCTCGGCATTGTCTTCTTCAGGGGGCAGCTTCATTTTGAATGGCTTCATGCTTCACACCCAGAGGCACCAAGTCTTTTCCACCAAGCCGAGCATAAAAATAGCTGAAGGAAGGGGTGGGGGAGGGAGTGTCAGCAAAACAGATTTATTTAATTATATGTGCCAAGGAACACCTTCCTATGCGAGACCAAGTGTGCAGCTCAAGTTTCTGATCTTGCTGCATTCTCATTTAAGGTTACTGAAGAAACAGGCATAAAATGACTGTGATAACTTAAATTTCTCTAAGATGCCTTCATATGTTTAGTGACCTTACACCTGTGTGGAACTGGATGCTCCTAAGTCTGGGTGTACTAACAACTGATTTCGAACAAAGCACCATGCAGGGAGGGTGTCTGTGTGTGTGGGTGTGATGCTGTTAAATCCAGCACCTGTAATCAGAAGGCTCCAGACTCCCTTAGGCTGGGCCTAGATGGACTTTCCTACTTCACAGAGATATTCTGCACTGCCCAGCCCAGTGGCATTGTCATGGCCATCACCGTGTTTGGTGATGTTCTCCAAGTCTCACATTTAAGAATCCTGTAAACATAGGAGAAATGGAAGGGTTTTTTCCTAACTCAAATTAAGTTTTAATCCTCACAGTATGTTGGAGGAAAGCTGGAAAACTCAGCCTGAAGGCAGAGGCAAAGATAAGTAAAAAGATAAGAATTTTTACTTCATGTAAGATTTTTTTTTTTTTGCCTGCTCACAGCTTTTATAATCTAGTTCAATTCTTTCTAGTTCTTCTGGCTGATATTGGTGTCCTTAACTAGTCCCATCTCTGCTGCTGCAGATTATAGTAAAGCAAAAATGTAGTTAACCCCCTTGTTATGATGGGATCTTTAACATCTGGATTTTGGCACCTGGAGGCCTGTCCCTACCTAGCAAGTTGGGATGAGCCACTGTCACAGATTGCCCAGACAACCTGGGTTGAAAGTGAGAACAGAGAGTCAGTTAAGAAAGCAAATGTGTGGGTTTTACTTCTGTGTGTTTTTGTCCACACCACCTACATGCACACAGAGCTGTGTTTGTTACTGGTGCCCTGAGAGAGGAAACCCATTACCTTAAAAGAAGCACTTGGCTTTAAGAGAGAATAATAAGGAAAGCAACAAAGAACCATTAGCAACATTTTATAAAGAAGATGAGATAAATAGTCTGTCTCATAAACAAGTGATATTATTTAACTATCCAAGGAGTTGCTTTCCAAAACAAGGCTGAATTGTTCATTGTCCAGCAAAATAACGCCTGCTTCTGCAGCCTTGGCTGATTTTCTGACTACAGCCCAGAGTCTGTAGATCTCCACTGTGGTGAATAGTCCTGCCTAACATTACTGCTAATGTTTATGTCAATGTCATAACAAAAATAAGTAGAAAACAGCAATATTAAGGCTCAGAAATGACAGGACCAAGACTTTTCAGTTGAGGGGACAGAAACAAAGGATTCTGCCGGCCCTGAGCTTCCCCATAGCTATAACAGGGCCTCACAGACACACTTGTGCTTGGTTGTGTTGGCAGAGAAACACTTGGCAGAGAAACCCCCTCTTGCTCTCTCAACTGCTCATTCACCTGCTCACAGAGACAAGATTATATCGCGCCGTCCCAGCACTTCTTCAAACACTGGTGAGCGTGCGCTCCTGTCCAGATAGTCACTAGAACAAGGTTTCTTTTTTCCTCTTTTCACAAGCCATGGTATTTCTCAGGGGAAGCCAGCGGCTGTCTTGGGGTTATGCCAGCTTTCCTACACCACAGAAACAAGATTTAAGATGCTGTAGAGCTCTGTGAGTGGAGTAACCAAGGTGGGAGGGGGGGCATGTGTGGGGTGTGAGGGAAATACCTTCTGCATAAACAGCCTTTTTAAAGAAATGGGTGGATTACCCAGGTCAGAGGAATCCTCGAAGGAGGAGTCAGTGCATCCATTCGGTGCTCCCATTGCCGCTCCCTTAGCAAGCCACAGGGGACCACTGCTCCGTTACTGTGGCAACAGTGACGACTTGGCAGCCAGACCCATCATGACACAGGGCTCCTCGAGACTCTGCGAGATGCTCTGGCAAACGCTTGCACAAGGAGATTTGCATCTGAGACCCCATTTCCTTTTAAATTTTGGCTTTGCCTTGCAAGCCTAGAGAAGGAGAAAATCGCTGGTGGGAGCCCTCCAAGGAGAAAGCCGTGTGGAGGCAGGGCACGGGGAGCGGCAAGGGGCTCGAATTTAGGTGTCTGCCCCTGCAGAGGCGGGCGAGCTGTGAGCACCTGTCGGGGAGGAGTTGGCTCATGTGAGAAGAAGGTCATTCCCGCAGCCTCGCTCTGTGAGTACCCAGCCAGCCTCTCCTAGCTTCTGCTGCAAATGTTATTTATTGTTTGTCATTGACTAGTAAATTCCGGGGTTTCTTGTGTCTAAGGGGAGGAATTTTCTTTTGTGCTAGCTCTAGGCTTCTTGCAAAATCCGTGAATGCACTACTACTGGCTTTTAGTCCTAAGCATAAATTCCTGCAGGAGCTGCAGCCCTGCCATTAGGAGCAGGTTTCTTGCAGGAAGCTCGATGAGAATCTGCAGTTTGCAGTGAGCACTGCACAATCCGTACCTTAATACCAGGTTTTGTACTCTAGCCAGCTGATATGGTCCTATATCAGCTTCTTCATTTAATTCATGGTTCCAGCCTTTGTTGTACAAGCTGACTTATTTGTTTTCATTGAGATTAAGAATTTAAGCAGTAAGTAAATCAAGTGCTTGAACAGGTGCAGAAAGAGTTTTTGCCCTGTGCAGGATAGAGTTACAAGCAGTTTCATTCTGATGAGACAAACAGATGCTCTAGATAAACTGCTGATAAAAGGAATTATTATACTGGCAAAGATCCACCACCACATTCCCCTGTAGCACATGGGTGTCATAGTCAAGCATACAGACAGTAGCCATGGGTGAGATCAATCTACCATGGCTAACAATAGGCATCTATAAATGTAGCCATGTTACTGAGCAGTGTGATCATCAGTTTTAAATCATGTCCTGAAAAATATCAATTTAACTTAGTCATCTGTGAAATGAATACACTGCTTTGCAAAGAAAGTAATGCATTGTAAAAAGAACAATTGTAAGGAATTATAAGGGAAAAGAAATCAAAGGTTGTACACCAAAGGTGTGAAATTTTGATCAACCTGCAGTCTGCTCACATGAAAGGCAAAGAGATTTCTTCTTCTCAAGATTAATTTGGTGCTTGTTCTGTTCCTTAATCAGACAGCAGCACTGGGGCATCTCTAGCTGTAATCTCATTAAGATTATTAGGCTGTGATTGTGCTTGTGGTCTGTTGCTGGCATGCGTTTGGGCAGACAAATGATCCTCGGAGCTCTCACAGTTGAGAGGAGATGGGGGTCCATTGTTTCTCATGAGGTTTGAAAATCCTACACCCTTGACTTTGGAAAGGCACTGTTTGCAAAGCAGCCGGGAGGGCAAACAGGGACAGGTCCACTCAGCCCACAAAGGCAGTTTGTGAACACGGCTTGTCTTGGTGTGATGGGAGTCACGTGTGGGCACAATAATGGCACAGCACCCTCCCCTCAGTGTGTAAATAGCATAAAGCTGTGCCTGTGCGAGTGTTGGCGCGACAGGCTGGGCTACTACAGAGCAAAAACAGAAGTCAGAAATTAATTATGTGCTCATTTCTCCATTCCCAGAACCACTCCTGTATTCTGCTTTGTCCTGCCTGTTACAACTAACAAAAGCATAGTAGCTTTTGTTTAGTTGGCCTCTTTGACCAAACTGAAAAATATTTGGATGATATTTCTGGAAATTTCTGGAGTCACATAGAACTATTTTCATTCCATTTTAGCCCATTACTCTTCATTGCAATTCCAGGCAACACCATAAATACCTCTAGTTCCTCTTCCTCATGCCTGCATTGCTCAAATGTTAGTCAATAGTTCTGTTCCTGGGCAGCAGTGGGGTTTGAGTGCTTCTGGAGGCCAGTGGTTTTTTGCAGCCCCCTGTGTGACCCCTGCACATGTGGATCTCCTGCACACAAACCCACAGCAGCTGATGTCATTCGCGCATGAGCCTGGGGAAGCAGGCTGCTGAATGAGTGCCAGTGTACCACACAGTTCATAAATATGGAAAAGCAACGGGCCCTATCCCAACAAGCTCGGATTCAGAAACATTTAGCAGATGTTCTGGCTGTGGGGGAGGAAAACAGGAGATGAATAATTACAATACTGCAATAGCAAATACTTTGTTGATGAAACTGCACAAAAATTAGAATGACAAACACACCCTTACCAGGACTTTGACCTATCCATAAAACAACATCAACATGTTTTATTAATAGTAGTTCCACATTCTCAAGATCAATAAAGTGACTTCATTGATTTACTTTTCCCTTTTTATTAATACTTCTCTAAACAGTGATGAATTTGCATTGAACATAGGTAGAGTATTTTTATAGCTTGCCAAAGAACAGTGCCAGTAGTTCTAGTAAAGCAATAAGCTTCTCAACCAGGACAACACAGCTAAAGAGAACCTAACCATGGTTAAGAGTTTGAAGGAAACTTCCAAATCTATTTGGAAGGGGCTGTCAGTTATTTCCACACCACCACAACAACACCATAAGGGAGATACTCCATACACTTCCTTAAAGGAGTAAAAAGCTGTTGTTTTTAAAACAAGAATAGAAAACATAGCTCAGGCTCTCCCTTAATCCAAACTCCAAACAATAAACATGCATTTTAGACCTTGATGCATGCTATGTGAAGTAAAACAATGTCAGCTTTACAGGCAGCACTTGTGGGGAACTTCTATAGTCCAAATTAGAGGAAGAACCAATGAAGGGTCTCAATAATGACCTTGCAGGAGCTGCCATTACATTTCACCAAGGTACTTTTGAATCCATTCCCTTTGGTCCTTTTTGAGGACTGTCTGAGCACAAGGAAATGCTGTACTTGTGATTTTTTGGTTGGTGTATAAATTGTAGGCCAGCAGTCTAGTAGTACTTCATCTGGGTATGGTGTTCTTGAATAGCTATATTTTCTTCCTTAACAAACACTTGTCTTACTGCTTTGAATGATCTCACACTTCTTTACACACTTGAACTGTTGGTCCTAAATCATGAAGTGAAACTCAGCTGGGCTACTCTTCCCAGCCTTGGCATAAGGTACCATTTTGGGAGGGAGTTTTCTGCACTTGTGTAGTCTTCAGTTTGGGTTAGTTCTACTTAAAACTTTACAGTGTAGTGAAGTGAAAGTTGTGTCTTTCTCATCAGCTTCTTGTATGCCCACAGTCCTGACTCATAGCAGCAAACCCAAAGCTGCAACTTTATATTCTACTGCTTGGCAAAATCTGTGAGCAGTGAAATTGTCTGCAGTGAATATGCACAGACCCAGAACCTCTCTTATTCTTAAAACAGTTCCAAATGCTAAAGTGTATACTGAACACTCAGCAGATTTGTATGTAGCCCCAAAGAAACTTTCTGTATTAGTTCCTATCAGAACACCTATTTTTTCAGCATGATGGGTTAGAAACTTTTATCTACATGATCAAAACTCACTGGCTCTGATGGGCTAATTTTTATTTTCCTTTTTAACTGCAGAAGTTTTTACCTACAGAAGTTTCTACTTAGTGAGCCAAGAGATAGATTTTTCCAAATGAATTAGAGTTGTATTTGTTTCCTTGCAACCAAACACAATCAGCAATTCATTTGAAACTCACCTCCCAGCTCAGCAGACATCAGTCAGGATTAGGGTGTGCATGTGTGTTCAGAGGTGGTGCAGGGGGTTGAACTCATCATTTCATAAATATTACAGCTATTCAAATGCCTATGCAGTGAATAATCACTTGCATCAGGAGAATGCTGGGTGCTTGGTGACTTCTGCCTTGCATTTGAACCACAGATTGAACACTTGTGTTCTTGCTTAGGAAGTCAGTGCTCCAGAAGAACTGGACAGAAAACAGCAAACTTTAAAACCTCTGTAGACTAGACTAGTCCTTCAGTTTCTTCTGAAAACAGTTCTTTTGGAAGCTCTTAGCTGTTAATTTGTATGCAGATTACTTTTACACTTTAAAAAATGGGTTTAGCTGTCCAGGTAAGTGTGAGCACGAGAAAACAAGACTATAACTCATCAAGATCCTAATTCAGTTGCTTACAGCAGATGACAATTCAAATACAGTGACTTTTAACAGAAACACTTGTACACATAAGAATAGAGTTCCTATTAATAGAGAGCATCTCAGGGGTTTCAATGACAGTTTGGTTTCATGTTGGCAGTTTGGTTTCATGGCCTTTACTTTTACAAATTGAAGCAAAAAACAACAACAAAAAAATCCTTTGTCACTGTAAATGTCACACTAAAATGTTTAAACAGGAGGGATGGCTGCAGAATACATCAAGTGCTCCTTCCATTCTGCATTGTACTGGTAAAGCCTCAACTGGGATCATGCTGTATGCTGCTCCTGCACAGAGAAATTCAGGAAAGACATGGATTAAAGTGAGAGCCACCAAAGGGGAACACCATCAATCAACAGAGCCTCACCCAATCAAAATTAGGAGGACAAACAAGAAAAAAACAGAGTTTTAGTTCTGGGGAATGTGAAAAGTGACATGAGAAATCTTCATTCATCTAAAGGGCTGTTGCAGGAGTGAGAGGAGCAAATGGGGTTTTTTTGTCTCTATTGGGTAGGATGAGAAATACATGTAAATTATGGTAAGAGAGATCCAGCTTTACCATCAGGGGAAACTTTCTAAAGGCAAAAAGAATGAATCATGATAAAAGAACATCTTTCCTGGATAGACTGTGGTGTCTGCACTGGGGAGGTCTTTAAGAGGTAAAACAGATGGGACAGAGATGCTTTCACAGGGCTGGAGTTAGGTGACCTCTCAGTATCCCTTCCAGTGCTGTAATTTGGTGATCACCTCCTTGTTTGAAAATCCACTTGCTGTGTTTTTACTTCCTGTTTCCAGATGTGATGACTTTGCTCTGGGACAGTAAGCTTTCCGTGGAATTTGGTGCTCTTGGTTTAAATGATTACAAATTCCCACAGGAGCATGCACCTGGCAAGTCCTGAACCTTGGAAGGTTGTCAAAATAGAATTTAAGATTCCTTGGCTACTTTTACTGTGAAAGTAGCTTTGATTTCATAGAGATACCAAAAACTTTCTTGAATTTTCTTCTGTAACTTGCCTTCCTTGTTATACTCCTTGTCTGACTGAGAGCAACACCTGGGCTTTACGAGCCTTCAATAATTTCCCTTGGAAGACATAAAAAAGACAGGCCTTATTTTTCTGTATAGACTTTTGAAAATGGGACACTATGCCATACTCTGACTT